TTAATTAATTTCAAAATTTAGTTATATTATATAATAACCAAAATTAAAAATTAAATTTGAGCTTGTATTTCAAAAATACTTTCATTTTTTTTACTCTTAAATGAACTATTTACTTCCCACTTCAAATTTTATAATGTTCATACACTTACCAATAAATAGCATGAAATATATTAATTTTAGCTTCTTTCTTATAAAATGATATAGCATCGAATTAAGTATTAATTTAAATGTTAAAATTTTGAATGAAGTTTAATTTCGGATGTGATAGTATATTTATGTTCCTAAGTTTTGAACTCTAAATTATTATATATAAAAATATTATTTTTTTGAAATTTGTGTAATCTAATTTATCTCAACCTTGATTGTAATATATTTTCTAATTTTTTTATTAATTAGGTAATTTCTTAATCATTTATAAAATTTATCATGATAGTTTAATGTGATTCTTCTTGATTGTCTTCAATTGTTAATGTACTATTCCTTTAGCTACTATAGTTTGATAGCAACAAGTCTTGAAGCTGTGGTTATGTGTATCCCCATAAACTTGGTTAGTAGGCCATGTGTACTTGCATGTCTATAATTTTACAAGCCTAATTGTTGGGTCACACACACTTGTCCATAACTATTTTCATGTAAGTTCTTAAATAATATATGCAGATGTTTTCATTCTATCGAACTCATTGTTTGGTTTGAACATACTTAAAAGTGTTTTTTTTATTGAATTTCATATATATTCCATGGTATATGTAAATGTGCACAATCGTGTAAGCTCGATGTACGAGTTACGTCTACCCTTGTATGACTACTTGGATGCAAATTCTTTGAATTTCAAGTTTATATATAAGTGTGTACAACTTTAAAACTTTAATAAATCAGTTAAGTACACCTATGTCTATGGTATTATTTACATTAAACACACATGTACAAGTTGGGGTATAATTGTATGCATAAGTATTTGGTGTGACTTTATAAGATGTACACATTGTTTATGACCATCTTTTAGGTGTTATTTTTTATCCCTGTTGGGGTAGAGGTTGATCAATGTAAAAATGGTGGGACATTATTACTAATTTTGAAAATTGACATGCATACCACACATTTCTTTTGTATTTAACACCTAAACTTTCATATTCACGTTTATAATACTTTGACATTATAAACCTATACATGAAAATACATATCTTAGTGATATTTTTAATGATATGTTAATGATTTGAGTTCTATGCATTTAAACATGAGGTTTGTGTTAAACAGTAAATACATAAAGAATTGTGTGGTATGTATGCTAGTTCCTTTAAAAGAGATTGCATCTTTATCAAAATTCTTCTTGCCAAATTGATCATCAAAACTTGATCCATTATCACTGATGCATTCACAATATCATCTCTTATAAAATGATATATTAAAGTCAATCACAAGAGAAATCTTCAATAAAGGCAATTACCTGTAGTTGTCCACCCGAATTAGCAAAAGTAGAAACGGGGTGATTGCAACGACCTTAAGTTTGCATTGTTTGGTTATTATTTGATCACAAGGCATGCTCTTTATCAGCCATTATTAATAGCTAAAAAAGTTATATTAGGCTTTAAAAATTTCCTAATCAATCATGACACATATTATTGATGCCCATTAAATGAACTACTCATGAAACAAGAATCATGCCTCCAACCACCATTGGAGGATTATCAAAGTGTTGTATTCAATCTTCAAAATTGTGATATCATCATTCAACATGCAAAGAACAACCAACACTAAAGATATATTTTCTATTAATTGAGTTAAAAAGCCCGAAGTTATGATTAAAAATGTCCTTAATATGACCACTGAACATCGAAGGGGAGTTTTCCTCCATGGGTAGAATGTTCAAGAAAAAAAATGATATCACATATCACATTAATAGCTCATAAAGATAATTAATCCGTGCATGTAGAGCTCTGATAGGAAATGAGAGTTTTATTCACTAAATAATAAAGGTATAATTGTATGATATAATAGCAAATTAGAGCATGGAATTCAATATTTTATAAAGTTAAACGACTGGGATGATCAAATTTTGGTCAAGAAGTAAACAACACAAAGAGATAGTTGAACAAATTTTAGTGTTGTAAGCAGCTCAAAATCAATTTAATTAATGCCCATTTAGGTTATCGATTCAACAAATTTGAATGTTATTTAAAAGTATGAACAAAATTTAAACATAATTTAATTCAATTATTTACTTTTATGAGCAACTTGTTTATTAATCAATAACTCAATAAAAACTATTTTGTTAAATAAAAAATTTTTCAGATAAAAGTTATTTAATTGCTTGTTTGAAAGTGATATATAACATATTCATTTATGAGGCTAGGAACTTCTCATTCTTCACATATTATCCTACAATTTCGCAACATTCAATCTCCATTCTCTTGTCCTAGAGAACGTGAGAGACTTTTTTTAAAGGACAATAACCTATTCTTATATATTATATATTAAAGTGAGCGCTTCAATACAAGAAACAATAGATAACACTCAAAATTTTTTTCTCCAATAAATAATGTCCGATTAAAGTACTATAGGCGCAAACACATAATCTCAATGTTCAATCTTTTTGAGATGTTCCTGACTACGTGCAACCTGGTGAAGACCCTATATCCTAGAGAGAACATGAAAGTGAGTGAGAGAGAGAGAGAGAGAGAGAGAGAGAGTGGTGTGATTCCAAAGAGGGAACCATAAAAATTTATTAAATTTTTATCTACAGTAAGTCAAAAAGTCAAGCTAAAAAGTCAGGCCACCTGGAGATTCCTTGAGTTACAACATTTTAGAATGGGAGAGAGAGAGATTCTCTATATGGAAGCAAACATGGTTCAAGAATCAGTTCTCCTATAACTTTTTTCCTTCCCCTATATACTCAAGAAAGAAAATAATATAATAATAAACACAATACATCTCGTACTGCATGATTCCTTTTCTCAATTGTCTTGATGAAAGTACTATTATGTTGGTGGAAGGCGGTGTTGGTATGACACCCATCCATATTGGTTGGGCTAATAGATCAAGTCTTTGACATATGTTCTTGTTAGTCATGGGGCTTTCTTCAATAGCTGCCCTCACATAAGAAGGGCACGCCATTCTTTTGAGAGGAGCGAATACAATGAATCTGTTGAGTGGGCTCGATTCAACCACTTTAACAGATGGGCTTGATTCCATCACTTTGGCGAGTGGGCTCGATTTATCTACTTAGACAGATTTGCTCAATTCACTCTCTTCAATAGGTGGGTTCGATTCAGCCATTTTGGTTGGTGGACTCAATTCAACCATTTTGACTGGTAGACTCGATTCAACCAGTTTGAGGTGTGCTCAATTAAATAATTTAAGAACAAAAAAATTTGTATAGATGTATTTGCGTATACATTTAGTTTCTCGATTCTCTCAACTCTTAAACAGGACTTCAACGAGAAGAATAAGAGAATGAAGGCTTATTTTTTTGCTTGATCTACCTTCTTCTTTATAGATCTTTGAGGCAAGAACATAACATGTCTTGGGAATAACCCTTTTCATCTAGGGTGCTCATTGGTAGATCCCACGAGGAAATAGATTCACCTTAGTTCAACAACACACAAGGGCTGGGAAAGGTTTGATTCGACTTTTCATTTTGCATATTGAGATCTTGTTCATTTTTTCTTCAATTTTAAATCAATCAATAATGTTCAATGGTATTGAATTCGAGGAGGAACTACGTGTAGTTACTTTGTAGTTATGTCATATGAACGACCTAGAGGAAAACCCCAAATGATATATTAGAGCTCATAAATACCATTGATTATAAAATTTATTAAAGCTTAAGTGTGTATCTTATAGCATCATGAAACAATAGAGGTACGCCTCATGCAACGTTTTAGAGATCTTGTTGAAGCCATATTTACTAAATCTGGGTGAAAGAAGAATTTATTCATCGTAGCTCGTAAGCTTCACCGTAAATAATAGATCAAGATTTATCGGAATTGATATATCCTACTTGACGTAAATGTAAGATGTAAACAAACACCACCTAAGGATGAATATCCCGAGATCATGTCTAGAGGTGAATCTGTAATTGAAGAAGCATATGACCTTTAAGAAGTCAGAAGAAGAGTAATAAAAGTAATCAAAGAGTTTTTTGAAAGATGAATTTTCTAATGGGAGCTCTCCTTTGAAAATTTTGAATTAACTTGAAATTTCCTTAGGCTCCTCTGTGAAAGGCAAATTTG